ACTCTAGAACTCCCTTTCCAAACTTTCCAGTTTCTAGTCCAGTCTGTTCCCAGTCTTACAATTGCTATTGGCAATTTCATCTTTCAAGTACCTCAGGCCATGCTTGTTTCTGCCATATGGTGGCAAATACAGTTATTATTCCCCACCTCAAAAATAATGTTAACATTCAAATTTATCTCTACCTCCAAAACACCCTCTCTAAGCTGCCTGCCATCATCTGTTGCCTACATTAGCAGCAGTAGTTTCCTAATTTTCTCCCAGATACCCTTACTCCTTTCTAATCTATTCCAAACATAACAGCCACATTGGTGCTATTAAGATATAAAACAGGGAGCCAATTCTTGTTCTGTTACAGCACAGTGAGCCCCTATGACTCATCTTTTTCACTGATTACAATTAGAAACAGGAAAAAACAAAACCTGACAACCCTGAAAAGTAAACAGAAATAGGTGGACTGTGGACTTATTATTGAGTATGTTTGGTGACATGCCAGCAAGCATTATCTATAGAAACTGATTTCCAATAAATGATTTATTCCACAAGAACATAGAAACGTGTCCAGCAATGGCACAGTAGATAGAGCACTTGGTGCACAAGTATGAGAACATGAGTTCAGATCCCCAATACCCACTCTCTCCACTTCTCTTTAACATAGTGCTTGAAACTCTTGCAAGAGCAATAAGACAAGAACAGGAAATTGAAGGAGTAAAAACTGGAAAAGAAGAGATCAAATTATCTCTATTTGCAGAAGAAATATTATATCTAAGAGTCGCCAAAACTTCCACCAGAAAACTCCTGAAATTATTAACAAGTTCAGTAAAGTGGCAGGGTACCAAATTAACCTACAAAGTCTATAGCCTTTCTACAGCAGTAAAGTGGCAGGGTACCAAATTAACCTACAAAAGTCTATAGCCTTTCTACAGACCAGTAACAAGCAATCAGAGAAAGAGCGCATGGAAACACTCCCCTTCACAATAGCTGCAAGAAAATAAAATATCTCGGAATAAACCTGACCAAAGACATTAAAGACCTCTACAATGAAAATTTTAAATCTTTAAAGAAAGACATTGAGGAAGACAACAGAAGATGGAAGGACCATCCACGCTCATGGATTGGAAGAATTAATATTGTGAAAATGATGACCCCATCAAAAGCCATTTACAGATTCAATGCAATGCCAATCAAAAATCCCCATGACATTTTTCACATAATTGGAAAAAACCATCCTAAGATTCATATGGAACACAAAAGATCTCGGATAGCCAAAGCAACCTTAAGCACTAAGAGCAATGCCAGGGGGATTACTATACCAGATTTTAAACTGTTTTACAGAGATATAGTCATAAAAACAACATTGGGGGCATTACTATACCAGATTTTAAACTGTATTACAGAGCTATAATCATAAAAACAACATGGTACTGGCACAAAAATAGACCCACAGATCAATGGCACAAAATTGAAGACCCAAATATGAGTAAATGCAATTTCAGCCACCTGATAGTTGACAAAGGGGCCAAGACTATTTATTGGAGGAAAGACAGAATGTTCAGCAAATGGTGCTGGCAAAACTGGATCTCTACCTGTTGAAGAATGAAACTAAACCCCTATCTTTCACCTTGCACAAAAGTCAATTCCAAATGGATCAAAGACCTCAATGTAAAACCTGAAACTCTGAAACTATTAGAAAAAAAACATTGGCAAAAACCTAAGAGATATAGGTGTAGGAAAGGATTTTCTAAACCAGACCTCAATTGCTCAGGAAACAAGGTCAATAATCAACAAATGGGACCTCATTAAACTAAAAGGTTCTGTACATCAAAGGAGGCAACCAGGGAAGCGAAAAGAAAACCCACAGAATGGGAGAAAATCTTCTGCAGAGACACAGCCAACAGAGGTTTAATATCCAGAATATATAACAAACTCAAGAAACAGAGAACCAAGACAAGAAGCAACCCAATTAAAAGATGGGCTAAGGAGTTGAACAGAGAGTTCTCAAAAGAAGAACTAA